AAGCAGTGACCTTGCACCCTCGCCTGAAACCCTCTCAGATGGACAGTGATGCAGACTCCGACGTCGTGTTCATGGGCATGACGCCTGGCCAGTCAACAGCCTCGCCACATGTCGTCGTCATTGACGATGACGACACTGCCAACCCTGGCGGCGCCGCAGGAGGCACCCCCAGTGTGCATGGCATCACGGACGGCATGCAGCAGCTGTCCTCGCCATCCAAGTCTCCCCCAGCCAAGCAGGCCAGGACTCGCGACGGCCCTGTGCGGTGGCCGCGCGTCGCTGCCAGGGGCTCCACGCTCACAGGAGCGCCGGCCCGGGGCGTGGTGGCCGGGGAACCCGCAACTTGGGGCGCCGCGGCAGCTGGGGGCGCGGCAACAGGTGGAATGGCGGCTGGGAGCGCTACGGCCGTGGATGATGCTCGGGTGACGCGGGGCGGGGGTGCCGTCCCCAGGGGCGCGGCGACCAGGGATGGCGCCGCTGGGAGCGCCGCTGCCGGGGGCGGGCGCACAAGGACTATGGACACGGGGGCTAGGGGTGCGGCGGGTGGGCACGCGGCGGCTGACTCCTGTATATCCATGCGGATGGCGGGCTCAGCTGCTGCCAACACTGCTGAAGCGCATGCTGCTGGCGATGCAGCGGACGACGACCTAGGTGACTGTGTGTTACAGCACTCCTGCATTCGCTTGGAGTCTATACCGACCTAGACGCCAGCAGCGGCTCTGCCAGCTTGCTGACGCCATGTGCTTGCCAAGAAACGTTGTGTGTGGGTGGACCCTACGTTGGGGCGCGTGGCTGCGAAGCTCCCATCACCACAACGGTCATATTCGCCTACTCTGTGGTATACGCAGATCGGCTGCATGATGAGGCCATCGAAGTCATGGAAGGTGGGCAGGGGTGCTGCGGGTATTACCCCTTCGCAGCAGGGCATGTGGCGCGCCCAAGGCCACCGCTTAGGTGGGCCGCTCCTGTGGCCGCTGCAGCCCTGGGACGGTGATGTGACACATTCTCAGTTTGCCCAGTGCCTTTCCTTGTTTCTTTGCAGGCATGCCTGACCAAGACGTGGTGGCGGCTGTGATTGGAGTACTCTTGATCAAACAGAGGAAGCAGGACGCGCCACTACGCTACACGGCCTTGCATCCGCTGCAGCAATCGGCGCTGCGGTGAGCTGGATATGTTGGTGCGACCCCACATCTGCACTTCACCTGCAGCAAGCCGAAATTGAATGCTGATGCACCTGTGTGGGGTGGACTCTATGGTTGGCCGACGCATGATGCGCACGCGAGTGAGTCAAAGCCGTCCACGCGTTGCAAGACAGTGTGCATGCCCGCTTCGCCCCTGTCACCAATAGCACTCAAGTCCTTTGTACTGATGTGTTGTTATGTTCATGCACACTTGACCCCGTCCCTTTGTCTTCCCCTGCACTGGCAGCTGTGACAACGGTGCGGCTGCCGAAGGGGCCCGAGCTGCCCGAGCTGCCACACGGCACGCGCCGCATGTCGACAACCTGTAGATCATGGAGAGCCTGCACCTTGACACGTGCGGCAAACCCCACGCGCTGGCCCTGATGCCACAGCGCACATGGGTCCGGAGCAATGCAATCCGCGGCGGTCTTGACTGCAGTCGGCGGCAGCTGATGGGGCTGTCGCCCCATCTGCGAAGCAATCAGAGTTTAGGGTAGCAGGCAGGATGTTGGTGGTGGTGGTACAGGGCCGTTGTCGTAGGGGACATAAAGGTAGCTGATTGGTCACTGCGT